CCCCGCCCCCCTTTTCCCTTGTTTCAAATTTTCAGCTTAAGCACCAAGTCTAACCATACCATAGGAATCAAACACACTACAATCATAAAAATTGAAAAGGTACAAGCATCAAGCTCACCGCAAATTCCATCATTCACTCTAGATGAAAACAAGTAAACAGGAACATGTCCTGCATTCCGACAATAAAATTTCCCACCCGGACACGCCGATGTACCTGCCCCAAAAGAAAGAGAGAAAATAAATAAAACAACGAATTTTAGGAACAGAAAATGATCCAGTGCAACACAAATAAAATAAATCTGGTATTATTAATCAATAATCCAAAAAAAAAAAAAAAAACCAGGCTCATCGGTGCCATCAGCGCAATCGCAAAAGTCATCATTGAGCTGCGGCTTGTTGAATTTCCCGGATCCGTCTTTACATCGTATTACATCGGAAGACGTGTAATACTTCTCATCTGCGAGAAACAGCAACACGCATTTCTTTAATTGAAAATAAAATTAAAAATGGAAGTGATAAACGCTGTGTGAAGCAAGAGGGAGGAACCTTCGGGGGCGATTCCGAGGAGCGGGTTCTTGGGTTTGGAAGAAGAGGAGAATGGGGCGCAGAACACGAGCACGAGAGCAATGAGGAGGATTCGAGGCCCCAGGTTCATGTTCTGGTGAAATTCAGAAATGAAAATTAGGAATAACAATGGTAAGAAGTTAGATCAAGGTGAGTTTGTTGAGTGTTAAATGGTGGGTGGTGTGTGATTAGTAAAAGTTGCGCTGCGTGTAGTCGGAATGAGTGCAACAGAGGAGAAAGGGACCTTGCGGTTTCCGACTAGCGACTGCCGCTACTGACGCGTGACAAGTGAAAATGAGGAGGATTCCAGAACAACTGTTTTCAAAACGGGGAATGCCAAACAGGAACTAATTTTTCTTGGCAAACTTTAATGTGTTTGTAGAATAACTTGAGTTAATTTAGTTTTCGAAATTATGATGTATTTTTTTATATATAAAATATGTTTGTTTTTAATGCATCTAAAAATATTTTAGAAGTTTAGTTTTAGTTTATTTTTAAAAATATTTTTTTTTATTTTTTTAATTTATAAATATATCGCTTTTAATTTTTGGAGTGAGTTGGACGATGTTTTATGACTATTTTTAAATGTTATTTAAATTATTTTAGAAGCTAAAAATAGTGCATTTTTATATTAAAGTGATCAAAGTAGAACATAAAATTTTGAAAGGACTAAAATTAAATTTTAAAAGGGACTAAAAATATTTTTTTCTTTCTTCATTTATGAACATGTCGCTAAAATAATAATTAAAAATTAATGTCTTTATAATATGTGAGTGATTATTTATATTAATATTTTTATTTATTAATTTGAATATACGATGTAGAATTATAAAAGTGAGATTTTTAATTTATTTTAATTAATATTAATATTATATTTTTGGGAATTAATTTGAGTGACCGAAAGTTTATTAAATATTATACACATTCATTTTTTAAAGAATAAAATAAAAATGTTACATTTGTAATTTTGAGGGATTATTTGATAAATACTAAATTTGATCGATTCATTTATTTAGATATTAATTGTTATATTCTATTAAAAAAACACTCACAATGAATAAAAATCAGCTTTTAATGATTAATCAAAAATTATTTTAATCATTAAGGTTGACATAATAGTAAAAAGTTGAGATAATATCTACAAAATCTTATATTCAAAACTTAACATTGTTATTATAATTTTAATGAATAAAATAAATAAATAATTATTTTTAATATGACTTTTGAAATAATTAGTATAAAAATTAATAACCTTATCATAGATGACAATATGTGTAATAACTTATTTTCGTTTTAGAACAGCAACTAACCTAATTGCATAATTATTCACTTTTAAATAAAATTCTTAATAGTTTCTTATGCAAATTTGAATAAAAAAGTATATTTATACTAAGTAAATATATTTTAAATGAATTCCACTTTAACGTTTTGCTTGATGGAGGCAAGAAAGAAGGGATTAAAAAGTTACCCCTGATTTATGGGAAAGAAAAAAGGAAGTCAGGTGAAATTATAGTGAACTCCCATGACAAATATTTCATCCTAAAATAAGGGAAATGCGAGGAAATGATATATTAATGTAACTAAGTTATTTTTAAAAAATATTTTTAGCATAATAAATTATATTGCATTTTTCTTTTATAAAATCTCTTGCATAATCAATTACAACCAACCTTTTTTCCTATGACACCCTCTACTCCACATACATAATTATACAATAAATAAAGATAAATAAAGTCATTCATAAATAAAATCTAAGTCTTTAACCATATAAAGGTAAAGAGTTCACATTCATAAATCATAAATCATAATGCAAAAATCACAAAAAATAAAATAAAATCAAGATCTTCTAAGCAATTTCACAAGAGTAACATTCTAAATTAATCATAATTAAGTCCCGATGTCACATGTTTTATTAGAGCACACCCCACAAAGAGACTTAAACATCATCACCAACATTCTCATAGTGATGATCACCTACAACACAATAAAAATACACATAGAGCAACAAGGGAGTGAGAAACATCTTGATGGAATCATGTCAAGGCCAAAAAGACCAAGAGGTGATACTTTGAAGGACCCAAGAGGAATGGGTTGATTTTGAAGACCTTTCATGTGATTGTATATAGTAGTTGTATAGGTTCATTTTGTCTTTGTATTTGTGGGGAAATTTCTTTCTTTCAATATAGGATAATCCTTTTAGATTTTAGGGCATGTTACTTGGAGACTTTTGCTCCATTTGACGTTATATTAAGGGTCATCCATTTTTGTATTTTCAGTAGTAGAAGTGGGATGACAAATAATAATGTGTGTAGATGCAACTAGTAATTGGGCCAGGATTAGGCTTAGGCCAAATTTTACATATTGGACTTGTTTTTCTCCATATTTTCCAAGGAATTGATTTAGCTAAATCTCACCACCATTGGGTGAACCTAACTAAACCAATTCCAAGACTTTTGGATTGGAGGACTTGTTGGAAACAAGCCTAGGCCGCCCATGCTTCTCCTTTGGCCAAACTAGTAGCTTGCCTTGCACACTTGGGAAGTTTGTGCTACAAGCTTCTAACTTAGCTTGCTTCCCAAGCTTCTAAGTTAGAAGCTTGCTCCACAAGCCTCCCAAACCATGGTGGACGTTCAAGTTAAGCTAACTATGGTTCTCTTGAACCATAGTTAGCCTAGTTTGCTCCACAAGCTTCCCTACTCTATATAAACCTTTCCCTAATCTTTGTAATCACTTTTGACATATATGAGATTGAATTTTCAGAATTTCTATCTCTCTCAAAGGTCCTAAAATCGTGGAGAAACCACTCTCCCTTCTAGGAACCTTCACAAAGGAATCATTCCTTTATGCCTTGGTTTCCTAACTCTTATTCTTCTTCAAGAAGAAATCAAACCTCCTTGGTTGCTTCTCAAGCTTTGAAGCTTGGTTCCTTGCTTCCGCATTCAAGTCTCAACCTCAAGAGAAGATTGGACAAAGGAGATGAAGCTTGGAGGAGATCATCAACCACTTCTACAAGTCATTTCCATCACATCTCACTCTGGTTCAGATGTAAAAATAAAGGTTAGACAACAAGCACACAATCATAACAAATACCACACAACTTACACATAATCAAGCACAACTCTCAAGTTATAGATACATTAGAACACATGCACATTCACTTATCATGCAATGATGTCATGGACTCGACTCATAAATGCATGCATGTAGTGTCATACAAAAGTTACATATTTCTCATCACTGGCATGTTGCTGCTACAGCAACATACCTGGGCATGTTCATTCATAAATACATCACCGGTGACCCAAGGTACACCTGGAATAGCTCAATACATCTTTGGCATGCGGCCTAAGCGACACACCTGAAAATACATCACTAGTGACCCAAGGTACACTTGGAATAGCTCAATACATCACTAGCATACGGCCTAAGCGACACACCTAGAATTGCTCAATACATCACTAGTGACCCAAGGTACATCTGGAATAGCTCAACACATCATGCGACCTAAGCGACATATCTGGAGTCATATATGCACATGATGCATGTCACACATTCACTATTTCATTGACTCAACATTTCACTTATCACGTCTCATCATATCTCATGTCTCATATCTCATGTCACATTATCTCATAATATCATGTCATAGTTCACATGTTCACGTCATATTCACATAGTCTCATATAAGGAACTTATAATTGTCATATACATCAAAATAACACAAACCATACTAGGAAATTATCCAACATCATACACATTCAATTCACAATTCATAACAAACAAAGCATAAAGGTCATAAACTCAACTTCATGATTTCACACATTTTCTACAATCAAAACACTCCAAATATTACCCAAAACACTAATCCATCATCAATTTTACATATAATGCCTCAAAATTCATCCAAAGATCATATCCCTAATTTCACTTCATAAGGTTTTCCACAGGAACCCACAAAACACTCTAAATCATATCAAAACTTGTTTATTTTTGAAATTAATCGCATATTCATATTCAAAAACCATCAAGGAATGCAACAGAAAACTCAAACATGAAAACAGAAAATATTTGAAAAGTGTCTGTTTCTAAGAGCATGCATTATGCGAGGGATTGAGGTCAATCCCGCTACTAAACATATCCATTATTGAAATTGAATACATATTCACACTTCAGAATCACACAAGGAATGCAACAGAACAATCTGAAAACAAAACAAAAAACTTTCATAAAGTGTCTGTTCCTATAAACATACATCAGGCAAGGGATTGGGGGTCAATCTTACTATCAAACATATCCAATTTCAAAATTAAATACACATTTATGTTTAGCATTAATCAAGGAACACAACAAAAATATCAAACATTCAAACATAAAACTTTCATAATTCGCCTATTCCTATAAGCATACATAAAGCAAGGGATTGGGGAACAATCTAACTATCCAACATATATTCTCAAACCCCCAAGTGAGGTCTCTTACATCCCCTCTTACCTCGATGGGTAGAAGACAAAGCACGAGCAGAATCAGATTGATCCTTTTCTTGGAGCTCTCTTTGTTCTTCAGAAGTGCAAAAATGAAGTCAGAAGCGTGAAATGATTTTGGTAGCCTCGGATAACTTCAAACTCTTGATAACTTCTTTCTTAAAATAATAATAATAAATAATAATAATAATAATAATAATAAATCATTCACCAAAATGCCCTTCCTTCCCTTCTCATAAAATAAATAATGATTAAAACATACTTTTTCTTTAATAATCAACATAAACATAAGTGTACTTATTAATAAAAATACATTTTATAAAATGTCTCATGCTTCACTAATTAAAAAATGATAATAACAAATCATGTTTCATAAATAAAATAGATTTCATATAATTAATTAAATAATATAAAATAAATACATTAAATATCAAAATAATTTCTAAAATACCTTTAATATAATTTATGAAAACCAGGTTGTTATATTCCCTATCTCCTAATTGATCAAGACCAGACCCTACATGCCCTATTTGTTTACAGGGGATAGAAGATAGTATCCATGTGTTGCGAGATTGTCCTTTTGCAAGAGAAGTTTGGAACAAAATTCTTGGAGGAAGCACAGCAGGCAATTCAACAATCAAAAGCATTCAGAGCTGGGTTATGGTTAACTTGTCAAAGAGACGTCTAGGAGCTGTAGCATGGTTGACTACGTTCGCAGTAACCCTCAACTTTATTTGGCATCGTCGAAACAAATTCATCTTCCAGAATTCTTCTATCTCAGCTGACTAGGTGGCTTCGGAGATAAGAGTTAGAGTTTCATTGATTACTTCGGGCACACTATGTTTAGTCACAGGGAACGATCACGCAGCCAGCCACTCTGATGGAGTCTGGAGATGCCCCCCAGTGGGGTACATTAAGCTAAATGGGGATGGAGTGGTATCCAATAACGGCCATGGCTACTGCGAAGGAGTTGTTCGGGATTCAGAGGGTACTTTCATTATTGCCTTTGCAAGAGCTCTAGGACAATGCTCGATTATCCAGTCTGAATGATGGGCCATACTTCAAGGGATTCGTATGATTCAAGCTCATAACCTAGGCTGGCAAGTGCTAGTTGAAACAGACTCCATGGAGGCAGTAAGATTGATTGAAGAAGGTTGCGGTAGACACCATCCTTGCCACGAGCTCGTCCATGACATTAAAGACCTAGCTATATGCTTTACTGCCTTTTCTTATTCCCACATTGTTAGAGAAGCTAATGTAGTGGCGAATAAATTAACAAGAAACAGAACCTGGCTAGGAAAGGAGTCTATTATTTATAATTCTCCTCCTGATTTTTTACATCCCTTGCTAGCCGTAAATATTCTAGGTGTTTTTTGATTCTTTTTCTTGTTTTGGGCTTTTAAGCCCCCTTTCTTACAAAAAAAAAAAAAAACATTCCCTATCTCCTAATTAATCAAGACAAAATTTACTCTTTATTTCTTAATATATTAAGAAAAATATGCATGTTCTTGTCTTGATTTTACTTAAGATTGTCTTTAAAATAAGTTAGAGAATATAAGATGAATTTAACTTTATCTACAACCTATCAGTAAAATTAATGATATAATGTTCCTAGAAGCCAAGAACAAAGGAAAAACTCTTAAAATACATAAAAACTCAATTTGATTTGTTTGTTTTTAATGCTTACAATAGATAAATAACTCATCCTGTACAAGTAGTAATTTTTCACTAAGAACTTCAGTAGGAACTAAAATATTAAATTCTCACTAATAATCACTTCTCACTTAGCATTTATTTTTCACTAGAAATAATTTTTCACTATCATACTATCATAATGATTTATGAAACCCAAAAACACTAAAATTTGGCTATAAAATATTGAAATTCATTTGAATTTATTTAAATAAAAATAAATATGAAAAATACATTAAAGAATGAGCTTAATTAACTATTCAACCTAAAAAATAAGTAATTGATCCAAATAGTCTAGCTCCCAGGTACATCTCTAATACTAGGTATTGAGTTCATAGTCTAGCTCCCAGGTACATCTCTAATACTAGGTATTGAGTTCATAGTCTAGCTCCCAGGTACATCTCTAATACTAGGTATTGAGTTCATAGTCTAGCTCCCAGGTACATCTCTAATACTAGGTATTGGGTTCATGGAGTTCTTCAAATTTTCTTTAACTCCTTTAGATCTTACTCTAGTTAGTGAGCCTTCCATTCATCTCAAAAAATATTTGAAATTATTGGAGCTTAATATATTATCATCATTCATTTTCATTTCAATGTAATTCGTCCTTGAATCAAGTTTGATATTTTGTTTAGCATATAGATCCATCGCCGCGCTTTATATTTTTTAAAAATTAAATATTTTTTCTTACTCCAGTTTTTTATTTTTTAAATGTCTCTTCTTTCCTCTCTCACCATATCAATCAACACACTTTACATAATTGTATGAGATTTAAACTATTTTATTTTTCTTAATTTTTTTAATGAATTTTAATTTTATTTATTGTGTTCAAATTAATTATTACTAATAAAAATTAAGCTTTTTATTTATTTTTCTATAAATATTATATAGATAAACCTTTTTTAATTATTAAATAGAGTGGTTAGGTTAGATTCTTGAGCTCTATTTGATAAGAAGGAACAAAAAATGGAACAAGATTGGACAGGACAAGACATGAGATATTGTCTTGTCACTCACACTTTAAATAATTATTTTTTAACAATTTTTTTGTTTTAAAATGATTTATTGCATAAGTATTTATATTTTTTAACATTTTAATGTGTTATGTTTTTTATTTATTTATAAATTTTATGATTTAATACTAATTAATTAAAACAAAATAAAAAAGATTAAGATAATTATTCAATACAACTACATTAAATTAAACCTAAAATATTATATCTATATTTAAAATTATAAAATATTTATATATTATCATTTTACTCTAATAAAACAAGATATGTATCTAATCTACAAACTTGTAGTAACAAATATTTTAGAGAGAGAATGGAGAGGATTTGGGGCATGCCTGTGGGGAGCCAGCCACCATCGGAACCGCCGGATGGGGGCGCTGGGGGCTCCAGGATGAGTCAGACAGTGACCTTCAAGGAGAAGGTACTGGGTGCCCCGGCTAAGCGGGCGACTGTTCGAGATCTTATTAAGGAGGGGGCTATGACGTTGGAATTTGAGGGTGGGGATCGGTTGCTACCCAAATTCAGCATCGCGGCACCCACGTTGAAACAGTTGTGTGAACCATGGGAACAATGTCTCGTGATCAAGTTGCTAGGGAGAGATGTGGGGTTCTTAACCTTGCGGGACAGGCTACCTGCGTTGTGGAAGGTTCAAGGAGGTCTCGAGCTGCTGGACGTGTCAAATGGCTACTTTATGGTGAAGTTTGATTTGGAGGCGGACAGAGAACGGGTCATGCACGGGGGCCCTTGGATGCTCTTTGATCACTATCTGATTGTTAGACCATGGTCCCCAGAGTTCGTAGCTTCAGCAACGAAGGTTGACAGTACTCTCGTCTGGATCAGGTTTCCAGGTCTCGGGGTTATGTTCTATGATGAGAGTGTTCTCCTAACAATTGCTTCAGCCATAGGGAAACCAATCAAGGTGGATCTTAATACCTTGAACATGACGCGGGGACGGTTTGCACGGGTCTGTGTCGAGATAAATTTAAATGAACCAGTCGTAGGGAGGTTTTTTCTCAATGGTGTTTGGTATAATGTGGAGTACGAGGGATTACATTTGCTGTGCTCGTCGTGCGGCTGTTATGGGCATGTCCTACGGAATTGTCCGCATGCAACCAGGCCTGAGCCAACAGCACACGGCGTCGGTGAACAGGAGGTTACGGAGCAGCAGTCGCATAGTTCAGTTTCGAGTGCTTCAGCAGGAGAGCAATCAGCTCCGCATGTTAGGGGAGAAATCGCGCCAGATCCGCATGGGGATTGGCTGATCGTGAAATGGCGAAATCGGAAACATAATCTTGGAAAATCGTTTAGCAATGGGCGATCTTCATCTCATAATGGGACTACAGATATTAAGGAGCTGGATCGTGATATTCCAAATTACCCCACGAAGGGTGTGCAACTTGAGGCTGCATCACGTGCGAGTTTTAAAAACCCACGTGAGGTGAGGGTACCTCCACGGGAACAGGGCCATGCAGCTGGATCCATACGTGGTGATGGGGGCCACGCACCGAATAGGAATACACCAATTATGGGATCCAATATTGATAGCAAGAAACGTAGCAGAGGGGAGGAGCTTCGTGACCATTCACGGCCCATTCCAGCTAGCGCGAATACGGAATCAGAATTGAATAAGCATAAGGCCCGAAGCTCACACACCCACCTTTCTCTCGGAGACCCACGCGTGCACGAGGGAGTGACGGGGAACTTGCACCGGCGTAGGACAAACAGTGTGCCCCAATCTGGTTACACGATCAACGAACGTCATGATGCCGAGGATAGTGGACAAGAGATACCAGGGACAGAGGATATTATGCAATATGACCAGCCATTGGAAGAGGAGGCCATGATGGCTTGAGTATCTGCCGTGTCTTACCGTTCTTAATGAATACAAACTTTAATATTTTAAGTTGGAACATTCGAGGGGTTGTTAATGCCAAAGGTAAAAGGAGGGTTTCGGAGTTAGTAAGGCTCCACCACCCGACTATTTTTATTGTTTTGGAAACCCATTGTCAGTTTTCTTCGGTGGCATCCTTTTGGAATAAGATGGACTATAAGTTGTGTTTTAGTATTGAGGCTACGGGGCATTCTGGGGGTATTTGGGTTTTGATGGCGATGTCTTGCTCTGCTAATCTATCCGAATTTGCCTCTCACTCTCAGGCCATATCGTTTACGGTTGTTGAAGGAAGTAAGAGCTGGGTGTGTACTGCCGTTTATGCTAATCCTCGAGTGGAACTCAGACAGCGGGTTTGGGATCATCTACGAGAGTTGGGGGGACGGATTACGCTGCCTTGGCTAGTGCTTGGGGACTTCAATGAAATTATGTTGTCAACGGAGTGTCGGGGTGGTCGCTTCTCGATGGAAAGGGCATCACAGTTCCTGGAGGTTTTGAATGATTGTAATCTTCTTGACATGGGGGCTAAGGGTCTTCGCTTTACGTGGTATCGTAATCAACGTGGGGTTGTGCTGGCAAAGCGTTTAGACCATGCGGTGTGTAATGTTACGTGGCAAGCAATGTTTCTGGAAGCGTATGTGGAGAATCTGTGTAGGGTCTACTCTGACCACTGCCCTCTTTTACTGCGGCACGAAGGCTAAAGGGACAAGTCTCAGGATCGACCCTTTCGGTTCCAAGCTGCATGGGCCACTCATAAAGATTTTGAGCGAGTTGTTAGGGAGGTGTGGTGCCGTAGTACGCCGACCCTTGCTAATGGGCTACAAGCTGTTCGGGTAGATGCCATCAAGTTTAATAAGGATGTGTTTGGGAACATCATTACCAGAAAAAAGGCTCTCCAATGACGTCTCAAAGGGGTACAACTACAACTCGAGAGAGGGGATTCAGAGAGCCTGTCACGCTTAGAAAAGGCCATACAAGCAGAGTTGGACGAAACTTGTCTTCAGGAGGAGTATTTATGGTTTCAGAAATCTAGAGAGAAGTGGGTGAGGTTTGGGGACCGTAATACATCCTTCTTCCATGCTCAAACTCTCGCGCGAAGATGGAGGAACAAAATACAGGGTTTGTTTTTGCCTGATGGGTCTTGGCACACGGACCCTGTGGTAATGAAAACTGAGGCAGTCAGGTTCTACAAGGAGCTTTTCTCGGTTAACAACAAACAAGGGTCTCTAGACATGCAAGCTGGGGTTCCACCTGGCCTGGGGGTTGAGGCCCAATCTGCCTTAACGGCCCCAGTCACGAAGGAGGAGGTTCGTCGGGCGGTTATGAGCATGAAGTCGTTCAAGGCACCAGGGTCGGATGGATTTCAACCGTTCTTTTTCAAGCAGTATTGGCCTATTGTGGGTGATGAACTATGGCGTACAGTGAAGGATGCCTTTCGATTGGGGTTCTCGGACAGTTCACTCTAGGAGACACAGATGGTGTTAATTCCGAAGGTGGACCACCCGGTTAGCCTCAAAGAATTTCGTCCTATAAGTTTATGCAACGTTGCTTGGAAGGTTATTTCTAAAGTGCTTGTGGCTCGTCTTAGACCCTTCCTGCATGACATCATTGGCCCTTTCCAGGGCAGTTTTATTCCCGGGAGGGGGACTCGTGACCATAGTATTATTGCTCAAGAAGTCTTCCATTTCGTACGGAAGGAGGGCTCAGGTGTGGGCTCCTTGGCTTTAAAAATTGACCTCGAAAAGGCATATGACAGGGTCAGGTGGGATTTTTTGGAGTCTACGCTGGTGCAGTTCGGGTTTCCGTCAATCACAACCCAACTTATCATGTGGGGGTTGAAGAATTCGTCAATATCTCTCCTTTGGAATGGAAGCAAGTTACCGTCCTTTGTTTCGTCTCGTGGCCTTCGGCAGGGAGACCCTTTATCTCCGTATCTGTTTGTTTTTTGCATGGAGCGACTAGCCCTTAGGATCTCTGAGTTGCTTCAGGAGGGTCGTTGGAAATCGATTAAGCTCTCCCCTGGGGGGTTCCCGCTTTCACACCTTTTCTTTGCTGATGATATTTTACTGTTTTGTCAAGCTTCAGAGGATCAAGCTCGCTTGGTGGCGTCAATCTTGGAGGAGTTTTCGCGATCATCAGGCTTGAGGGTCAATTTGTCTAAGTCTAAGTTTGTGAGCTCTAGAAGGGTTTCACAAAGGAGGATCGACATACTGGAGGGTTGGCTTGGGATTGGCCACACGGCTCGAATAGGGAAGTATTTGGGGGTTCCCATGACTCATGGTCAGCCGAGGTGCGCCGATTTTTATGATGTGATGGAAAAGATTCAGGGTAGACTTGCGGCTTGGAAGTCCAAGCTTCTTAATAAGGCAGGGAAGTTGTGTCTGGTCAAGTCCACCATCTCCTCTATTCCTGTTTATAGCATGCAAACATTGTGGCTTCCTCAAGCAGTGTGTACTAGATTTGATCAGGCTTGTCGTCGTATGCTCTGGGCAAATTCTGACAACACACGGTTCTGGTCTCCAGTGAGTTGGGATGTTGTGACTCAAACCACAGAGTTCGGCGGTCTTGGTGTTAAGGAGGCGCGCAGGGTGAATGTTTCACTCTTGGGGAAGTTAGTTTGGGATATGCTTACGACTCCATAGAAGCCTTGGGTTCATCTCCTCAGCAATCTATACCTACAGGGGGGCTCTATCCTGTGTGCTCAAAACAGGCGGGGTGCTTCTCCGACCTGGTCAAGTCTTCTAAAGGCCCTTCCTTATCTTCGTGAGGGATTCGTGCCTCAACTAGGGTCGGGTACCTCATCCCTTTGGTACACGAACTGGTCAGATACTGGGCTTTGGTGTGGGAAAGTTCCATTTGTTCATATTGCGGACACCAACAAAACAGTCGCAGATTGCTGGGTTAGTGGTGCTTGGAACTTCACTGCCTTGTATACTGCTCTCCCGGCGGAACTGCTACATTCGGTCCAACAGCTGAGTGTCGCCAATTCCTCTTTGGGGCTGGATCACTTCGCTTGGAGGGGGGATAGCTCGGGCTGTTACATAGCGGCATCTGGGTATCGTTTTCTAACCACGGTACTGTCAACGGAGGGGGACGAAGTGTGGAAGAAGATCTGGAAGTTAAAGATTCCTGAGAAGGTTAAGTTCTTTCTGTGGCAATGCTTTCATTCAGCCCTTCCAACGAATCAGGTTCGGGCTGATAGGAGGTTGGTTGACTCTGGTGCATGCTCGTGTTGCTCTTGCCCTCACGAAACCATTTTACATGCACTTCGTGATTGCCCGTTTTCGCGAGAGGTGCTGATGTCTGGTGGGATCAGTGTGGGGTGGGCTTTCTCGGTAATGGATTGTTTCTAGTGGCTGAAAGGGATTATTTTGCATAAGGATGCTATTCGGCTATCCATCACTTTATGGTGGGTTTGGCGGTTTAGAAATAACATGTTGTTTACCGCTGAGCTTTGGACGATTTCGGCGGTCCGTCGGAAGGTGACACTGTCTATGGTGGAGAACATTGTGTATAACGCGAAGAGACGCTTAGGGGAGGAGTCAGCCCTTTGGAGGCCTCCGGAGCATCCATGGGTCAAACTAAACACGGACGGGAGTTGGTTGACTGGATCTTATGCTATGGGGATGGACGGAGCAATTCGAGATTGGGAAGGTATGTGGCGGGGGGTTTCTCGCGTGGAGCTTTATATGGTGATGCGCTACGTGCCGAGTTATTGGCCTTGGAGGATGGTTTATCGCTTTGTTGGGAAGGTGGGTTTCGGAAGGTGAGGTGCGAATGTGATTGCCTGGGAGTTGTTACGCTATTTCAAGAACGATCAACGGATAGGGATTATCTGCATAACCACTATGATGTGATTCGTCGTATTAAGCGCATGCTAGCTAGGGACTGGGTTGTTTACGTGAGTCATATCCCTCGAGAGATAAATTCAGTAGCCCATACGCTGGCTAATTGGGGTGTACGGAACATAGGTTCCAATATATTTTGGAGGAGTCCTCCAGAGTTTGTCCTGTTACCGTTAGGGAGAGATTCTATGTCTTGAGTTGTCTGCTGTTTTTTAGTTTTCATTCTTTACCAAAAAAAAATCTACAAACTTGTCAACAACTTCACAAATTTTTTTCATGCTAAAAAACATTTTTTTCAACTTTTTTCTTATTCCAATTTTTGTTTTTTAAATGTCTCTTTCCTCACTCACCATATTAATCAAAACACTTTATATAATTATTAAAAAAATTAATCATTAAGAGTTTAGGATTTAATTCACTTTAGGAACAGATGGGAGGACAATACAGAATAGGAGACATTTGGTCACTATAATTTTTTATTAATTCATAGGAAATATTAAAAGTATTTTTTTTATAAACATAATAAATTTTGATTTGCATTATAGTTGTAAAATAATGAAATATATTAATCATTTCACATTTTAAAATTAAAAAATATTTAAATTTACGACAAATTATTTTTTAAAATTTATAATAAAACTTTATTTTATCACGAGTATTATTATATCAGTGGGAGTGTTTCAGATATTTGCAATTATCTCGGGTAGCAATGGAGGCAGTGTTGCTTCCAGCGTGTCCTTCACCTTCACCCATTCCGCAACGCTCTTCGTTCCCTTCTTCACACCGCTCCTACCTCCAAAACGCGCCACTCTTCTCCCTTCGCAGCTCTCTCCGCGCCTCCACCTTCGCACTCGCCCACCACCAACCTCCCGTTCTCGGAAGACCCGACAACCCCTCACCGGCGCTGCCCAAAATCGACAAAACCGGTCGCTTCTGCAGCCCTAGAGCCGCCAGAGAACTCGCACTGTAACAACCTCTTCTTTCAATTGTCACTCACTGCGACGCTTCGTCTTCTTCACGATGAGACTCTTTTGCGCAGGTCAATAATCTATGCCTCGTGTTTGGAGGGGCTGGACCCGGTTCGGCTTTTCGAGAAGCGGTTGAATGCGCGCCGAGGTGACGGTTCATCTTCGGTTTGAGTTTGAGTTTTGTGTTGTGTTGTGTTGTCGTTTTGCGTTGAATTGGACGCGTTTTGTTTCAGAGGCCGGGTATGAGTTCGACAAGGAGAAGTTGTTGGAGTATAATCACATGAGTTTTGGAGGGCCACCTGTTACTGTAGAATCGGATGAGGAAGCAAGTGAGCTTTTGCGGCACATTGAACAAGAGTCTGCTATTGGTAACAAATAACAATAAATCCTGAACCGCTTTTTTT